CTCATTTCCTTTTTAGAACTCGTTATTTTCGGTTTGGAGATGCTTCGATTTGAATTGCGTATTGCTAGTGTTTGCAGAAATGCACCAAAATGTAGAAGGTAGGAGTGCTTGTTTGCTTAGCCTTTTTCGTTCTTGTTTCAGCACATATTTCACATATCTCATCATTTCTTTGAGATGTGCCACAAAAAACTTAATGTTTTCATTATTTAGCAAACACACTCTTGTTGGAGATGATTATCAGTTCTTGCAACGAAGCGTAATACCTACGTATCACTTCCAGAAGAGTCTTCGCCGTTTACCAATTCCAAAACTAACAGACACATGTAACAGGTAAATAACAGTTTGCTTACTGATATGATTGAAGTTATCGAAAGTTTTAGATTTCTTGCCTCTGCAAAAGTCATCCTTACTGAAACCGATTACAAACGTACGGAGGAAGCGGTGCGATCTTTTGAAAAAAGTGAAGGACCAGGTTGGAGTTGGAACTACGATAAAAATTGCAAGCAAACTTTTTGCACTCCTTAAGTTAACTTAGCCTGTTTTTCTCAAGTGTTTGAAATGGTAGGAAAAACAGGTAATAAGTGTCGCGCATGATGTCTTCTCTCAAAATTGAACAGTGTCTTGGGTGGATCAATACACAAATTATTATAGTTTCAGCGAAAGGCTGATAGTTTGTGAATAGTTTGGAACGTTAGATCATGCCAAAAGAGATGCTTTTTTCAGTACTGTACTTACAGAGCTACAAAAAGCGCTCATCGAGTATGACCGCAATCACAAGGACACGAGCTACATCTGTGAGCCATGGTTTGATATGTACCTCAAATCTCGACTTCCTTGCCCAGTTAATTATAATCCGTTTATGATGTATGCGCCGGACCCGGATGCACGTTTCAATCACCAGGTAACTAATGTTCGCAGTTCAAGACACTTTGTTTGGGAGGTTTTTTTATATTGATTGATGACTCTCTAATCTATTCGGCAGAATAACAAACTGCCCTGATTTGGTTTGAAGCGCAATTTTAAGCAAATTTGTTTTCAGCTCTCTCGTGCTACCAACTTTGCTGTTTCATTTGCTCGGTTTAAACGTGCTCTTGATAAGAACATACTTGCTCCAGAAGTGTTTCATTTGAATCCCAAGAAGAGTGATACTAAATTATTCCGAAATGTATGCAAGTGCGTTTGCTTTGAATTCTTATATCTACAATTTGATCCAAATATACTTGTGCTTATCATACTCAACCACGATTATCCAGAACCCTTCCGCCTACTTTGTCATGGTTTGGGGCGGTCGCGTTCAAAGCTTTTCCTTTGGACATGAGCCAATACAAGTCGACCTTCAATGGCACTCGTATCCCTAAAAAGGAAAGAGACGTGTTATATCAAGTACGTCAGTATTTTTTCCGTATTTTGTAGACAACGGCTTTTTATTTGAGTATACATAGGAGGATTAATTTACAGGGGAAGCATACTCAGTGACCGTGGTTTTGAAGAAGTTTACTACTAAATGCAGCTTGAAACGTTGATTCCAAATATGCCTTTAAAATCTGCTAAACGATTCTCTGAAGAAAATTATAACAGTTTCTTTCCGCGAAAAATAGCGTGCATAATCTGTTATTTAATGCACTAAACCTCAAAAATCACCCAAAACACGAAGTGGATGCATTTGATGGTGAGACACATTTCAACAAATGAGATATCGCTTATTTAGAGTGAAGTGAAGTATTCGAGAAATAGATGATGCCTGATGCAAGCTATTTTTGCGGAAAGAAAGTTTTATAATTTGTTCAGGAATCGCTTAGCAAATATGGAGGGCAGATTTGAAATCAGCGTTGAGGCACTCTACTGGTATGCCTTTTATTATGAAAGGCCACGATCACTAAGTATCCTTCCTTTGTTAGAAAAACTTCATTCATTGGAGATTTGATTCACTCGATGGTCTTTTTGCCTTGTATCTGAAGATTAACTGTCTCATCTACACAGTTGACGGAAAACATGATGGTTTAACTTAGTCATTTTTCCAAGGATCCAACACAGAAGCATTTCATGGTCCTCTGTCGTGGCAAGACTTTCGCAGTCGATATTTTTGACGATGAAGGTGGAGACTAGTTCTAGCATTTTAAGCCTTTTGAAGTATTTGAATTTAGGAAATATACTACCAGCGAAAGATATTCACAACTCGCTAGCCTATATCCTCCAGACAGGCGCCCAGCAGGAACCGGATAAATGCGTTGGTATGTTGAAAGATTTACTCATTCAAAGCAGATAACATATTACGTGATGTACAACAGGCAGCCCCCTTTATGGTCTTTCTCTAATTCAGTAACGGTGTTTATCAAAGTTGTAGAAAAGTGTACTTCGTTTAGATATTGCACTAAATAAATCGCGTAAATCCTTACCTTCCACCTTCCATCTTCATTTCTTTACAGGTGCTCTGACTAGCTTAGATCGCGACCAATGGGCTAGTGCACGCGAAGAACTGGTAGAAGCTGGGAACGCTGAACAACTTCGCTCTATTGACGGTGCTTTGTTTACTTTGTGCCTAGATGATCTGAAATCCCAAGATCCTTCAAGGTGACCAATTTCCCTTTGCATTACATTTTTTTCATTACCTATCACATCTTCGACTACTCTATTTTTTCTTCTCTA